ATGGACCGGATCATGCTGACGGTCGCTTGCTCACCAGCGTCGCGCGGCGAAGGGCGGGGGAGGGGGGGGGGGGGAAGAGGGGACGGGGGCGGGGGGGATGGAGCAGTGGAAAGACCGGGAGGGGGCAGGGAAACGAGAGCGAGGGGCCGGTCGGTGAACAGGCACACAAAGGATGAACTCGCGAGGGAGGTGGAGTTTGGCCGGGGGCTGGTGGGTGAGACAAATGCCCAAGGGCTGAATAGGATGCCCACGGCCGAAGGAGTGACAGGCATATTCATCTGCAAACGGGGGAGGGGGGAGGACGCGCACGCACGGACCGAAGGACCAGGACGGAGGGTGGCAATGTGCGGAGCGGAGGAGGAGGGGAAGGGACGGATGGAACGCGCAAGGGGAGGCCCGGGTCTGGGGCGGGCACGCTTGAGGCGCTCGCGCTTGGGAGGCTGCACGAAGGGCGGGGGAGGGGGGGGGGGGCGGCGGCTGGTGGCCACGATATGGATTGATCTGGCCCTCTTCCCACCAGGGGGGGGGAAACGAACCCGGCCGAGCGAGGGAAGAACAGGCTCGCGATCGGCCACCGCGAGAGCCGAGGCTGCGGGGCCCGGCGGGCGGCGGGCTCGACCCGATCGCGGCAAGCACGCCCCGCACTTGACACAGGAACGCAAGCGAGCCGGCGGGCGGACAAACGGGCGAGCTGTGCGAAGACACCGTCCAGAACCGCCGATGTTCTACAGGGCCAACCGCGTTGGGCATGCTTGCCGGGCCCCGTTGGCCGGACCCCATTTTCGGTATCCAGAAACACCGGCCCCGGGCGTTTGGCCACCGGCCGCGCGAGAGGGAGAAAGTCCCCCCGCCCCATCGCCCTCCAGGAGCGCCTTCGCGCCCCCGGCCCGGGGAACCAGGGACCGGGGGGAGGGGGGGGGGGGACGTCGCAGTGCATTCCCTCCATCCTACGATGGAGGCTCGGGCGCCGGATTTAGCGCCCCAGGGGGAGGGGGGGGGGGGGCTGGCCTCTTCCACGCCCCTGCCCCCGGGCCAGGGGCGTCCCCCGGCCCTCAGCCCATCCACACGCCATCGGCCGTGGATGCCTCCGGCTAGCCATTCTGCCACAGTGCCAGCACCCCGCGGCGTCGGAGCGAGAATTGCCAGGGGGCCGCGCCCTCGACATCCGCGGCCCATCCTCTGGCAACACACCCACCGAGCGAACCAAAAGAGGGAGGAGACGCGTGTACGCGTATTTGCCCGCCGGCACGCACACACGCGCGCGCGCGCGCGCGCGCGCGCGAGCGCGGCCCCACACCCGCCACTCAAGCACGGCATGTGAACCGCCGCCACGCCAGAGCGGACAGCGCTCCCTGGCGCGTGAAAGTAGATGGCAAAAATAATAACCGGATCACGCCTTTGCCCAGGTGTTCGCCTGATCTTCCCAGCCGTGTCAGAGACCGGCGCGTGACCTCTCGCTCGGGCAGCCATCCCGGGTCCGGGCGGCGGGAGGCCGAAGTCCCGGGTACCCAAGCCAGCCGCAGGGGCCAGCCTTGCCCGCGAAAGATCGCCGCTCTACCCGCCCATCCCCCCCTCCAGCACCATTGCCCCACACACATCCAGCCACAGGAGGGGCGACCCCTGCAAAGGGAAAAAAAAAGCCCCAGCAAGCGCTCCCCCCTCCCCCTCCCCGCCAGGCAATCAAAGCACCACTTGAGTCTCTTGTCATACTTGCCTGTGTGGGGCTCGTGCATTTAAATAGGAGTTTTTTGGGGGGTCTGAGATGAGGGGAGAGGCAGAGGGCGGAGAAGGCGCGGGCGCTCTCTTGCGGGCCTCTTCTTTTTTGTCTTTTTGTTTCACACGCCCACGCCCCTCACGCCCGGCCTAGCGCCAGGCCCCAGGGAGTCTGGACCGGATGATCCCGAGGGAGGAGGGAGGGGGAGGGGACGCCGAGACCCAGGGCGTACGCATACCATGGCAGGTCGAGGCTCCGGAAGGGCGGGGAGCGGGAACAAAGGGGGCTGGGCGTGAAGCAGGGCATTCGGGGATGCCCGTTCAAGAGGAGGCGGCGGCGGCCGCGGCGGCAATGGCCGCGGAGCCGGTGGTGGGCGCAGGAGCAGCGCTGATGACCGCATCAATCTGCTCGCGGGTGTACAGACGGTAGCCCCCGGACGCGGTGACCGAGGCGACGTCGATGTTCTGCGAGGAGAGACGCTCCTCCATCACCTCGCCGAGGATCTTGAGGGCAAGGCGCTCGGCATCGGCTAGGGTCATGTCCTGCATTGGGATGGGCAGGATGCGACCATGCGTGTGTGTGTGTGTGTGTGTGTGTGTGTGTGAGTGTGTGTCTTCGAGACAAAGAGGCAGCGCGAGGGGGGGGGGGGCGAAAGGGGGTGAGTGCGCACCTTGCGGAAGTGCTCGCGCAGGGACGCCTGGGCGCCCTCGCTGCCGGCCCCGATGGCCTTGGCATCCTGGCGGGTGAAGGTACCGGAGGGGTCGGTGTGGTACAGCTGCGGGCCGCGGTCGTCATGCCCGGCAAGCAGAAGAGCCACACCGAAGGGCCGGGCCTGGGTCATGCGTGTGAAAATGGGGGGGGGAGGGAATGGCCCAAAGAACATCAGACAGAGCATGATGGAAGGCGGTCAGAGACCGGCGAAGGAGGGGAGAGGAGCATGCGGCGGGGGAGGAGCATGCGGCGGGGGAGGAGCATGCGGCGCACCATGATGGCACGCTGGCCGTGGACACCCTCGCCGAAGCGCAGGGCCAGGTCACAGATGGACTGCGCCAGGGACTCGATGCGCATCGGCTCGTCATAGGTGAAGGTGTGGTTCTGAATGCGTGCGGAGGGGGGGGGGGCAGGGGGGGCAGCAGGGAGGGAGGATGAGTCCGGGGGCGGGGGAGCAGGGCAGATAAGGCACGACTCCATGCACATGGAGCAGACGGCCATAGACAAGCGAGAGAAAGAGAGAGAGAGAGAGAGGGAGGGAGGGAGGGAGAGAGGGAGGGAGCGCAGGGACGCACCAGGGCCTCGACGCGAGCATGCTCGACCAGGGTGCGCGAATCACCCATGAGGCCGGACCAGACGCAGCCAACATGGCGATCAATTTCGGAGATCTTCTCCACCGACTGGGGCTCGATCAGCGGCGACACGACACGCTTTTCGACGGCCAGGATCACACCCTCGGAGGTCTGGATGCCAATGGCGGTGGAGCCGAGCTATGCAAAGAGCGAGTGTCAGCAGCAGGCAGCGCGGAGCCCCACGGACCAGGAGGAGCAGGAGGCGATGGGAGAGAAATCGAGAAAGGGCCGATCACAGATGGACAGCCAACGCGTGCACCGGAAACACGCACCTTGATAGCCTCGATGGCATACTCGACCTGGAAAATGCGGCCCTCTGGCGAGAAGGTGTTGATACCACGGTCGTACTCGGACTTGGTGAGGAACATGGTGAAGTTGGAGGGGGCGAGGGGTGGGGGAGGGGGGAGGCTTCAAGGGGGCGGGGGAAAAGGACGGGGCGGCGCGTCAGATGTACGCTCAAAACAATCAGGCGAGGAGGGGTCATCGGGGAGGGGAGACAGGCAAAGCGACATGGCGGGGGGAGGCATAAATGGCGAGAGCAGTACAGGAAGTTCGGCGCGGGTGTGGGTGGGAAAGGGGCCGGAGCAAAGAGCGAGGGGAGGGAAAGTGGGGGAGAGCCGGAGTGGATTGTCCCCATCGACCGGGCCGACCGGCACCAGGCCGCCAGGCCAAAAGAGAGCCAACAAATTGTCTGCGACCTCCCTCTCCCCTGGGGCCGGTCTCCCCCCAGCCCGACCTTTCGACAACTGACGTCTCGATTGGCGTGCATGCACGCAAAGGCCGGTGGCGTGCGTGTCCCAGGGAAAGAGACCCAGTCCAGATCGGCATGAGCCTCGGTCTCTTGCGCCATCGGCGGAGCAGCCTCGAACCGGGTGATGATGCATAGAGACTAGCATATGCGACCGTGGGCCTGCTCCGGCCTGGAAGGAAGAGCCCCCCCGGCACCTCGCCGCCCTGCCGGCAACATCCCCACCTTGAGGGAGGCACACTCCAGAGGGAACACCAAAAAACGGCCCCCCCCAAAGAAACCGCCCCCCCCGCCGGGGCCCCCCCCCCCCCCCCCCCCCATCGCCCAGTACCTTCCATGGCCCCTCAGTTCCCGGGCGCGCTGATGATATGACTGCCGGGACAGCAGCCATGCACCGGACACCGAGACACGGCGTCCCCTCACTCCCCGGCACCCTCGCCCGTGCCCGCGCATATACACACACGCATACCCCCCCCGCCCCCGCTACCCGGGCCCCTCCCCGGGGAGCGTAGTTGTGAGAGGTTCAGGCAAGTGTCCAACCTCGCCGCCGGCGATCGGATCATGTGCGGCGGTCAGCTGGGGCCATCATATCGCTCGGCACATTCTGCAATGGCAGATCATGACCCCGGAAACCCCAGGCTGCTGCCAATTGTAAGACGCCCCGGGGGCGTGTGTCTCTCCTCCGCCACCCGCACGCGCGCCTCGCTGAAGGGGAAACCACCCCCCGGTCCCGGCGGCGGGCGTCGGGCAAAGAGGGGACCAGGCACGCGCTCCCTCCCCTTCCATCCTCGGGCCCGGCTGCTTAGGGGCCCGGAGGGGGGAAGGAACAAGGGCGGCGGACGAGGGCGTGCTCACGAGTCTCCCCGTGAGGGCGACCCCCCCCCCCCCCCCCCCGGCCCTGCCGCAGGGGGAACTGGTCCCCACTCACATCGCACACCCGTCCCACGGCGCCCGTGTGGGCCTGCGCATGCCTGCGAGACCGGGGCGGGAAGTGACCGGAGGCGGAGGGTGGGTGGGGGGGGGGAGGGTGCTTCTGGGCGCGCTGGTCAAGGGTGATGGCGCTTGGTCATTAATTTCCGGCCCCGTCCCGAGATAGCCGGCCAGCCGGGGTCGGGCATCAGGCTTCTCCTCCCCTCTCCTCCCCTCTCACCCCCCCCCCTTGCCTCTTGCTGTCTGTTCGCCCTCCGCCTGCCCCCGCTCTCCCCTTCGCCTCTTTGCCGCCACCATGCCGCTGGGCCCCTCGCAGGACATGAACGAGCTCGGCCGGTCCATCGACCGCCGCCAGCACTCTTCGGCCCTCTCAGCCAACCGGGCCATCCCCTCATCCACCCCTACCGGGCAGATCCTCCTCCCCCCGCCGCAGTCCAGTCTGTCGACCTCCTTCTCGGCCTCGCCCTCGGGCTCCTCCTTCCAGCGCGTTGCCCCGATCAGCATCTCCTCGACCAGCGTACGCGGCGAATCCCCCTCGCCCCATTGCACACACACACACACGCACACACACACTGCCCCCCCCCC